GAAGCACTGTCAGATTCTTGGTGTTTTTCGAAAAAAAATTAGACAGCGAAATCACATTAGCTTCAGCATTTATAGATTTTTTGTGCTTGTCACTTTTCATATGACTGGTCAGAGCTCTTCTTCCCATATTACTGAAATTAATTATTTTCGGACACTTGATACATTTTGCTTCAAAAACATTACTTTCAACTCTTGCCAGCCAAGGTTTAAACTCTGGGTCAATTAGCCATTGAATTTTAAATGATGTTAATTTACCTTGAGTCATATTTCAAACACTTTAATCCTATAAAATAAGATAATTTAACTATAGATTTTATTGTAATAGTAAAGTAAGATAAAAATGTCTAATTTTCAAAAAGTACATAAAATTGACATATTATCTGGCGTTATGTTAACCCCTTTAAAGTAACAGTTTTTAATTTTCGGTAAATTTACCACTTCTAAACTAGGTTATATAATTTCACACACACCATATTAACCAATTATTACTCACTTTAAAAGTAGTAAATTTACCGAAAATGGAAAATTGTTAGATACTTTTCCACTTAACATAACCTCATTGAATATTCTAATTTTACAGACTTTGATACAAAATAAAAAAATTGTTAGTGTAGTATATTTTTAACCTTTACTTCATTTACCGATTTCTTTAAATATAAAATAAATATATATAAACTGCATTTCACTTCACGCTTCACAAATAAAGTTAATAAATATGTAAACACATAAGTGGCAACTAAATTATAATATCTCTATTATCATGTTATTGCTTCAGCTTGTTTAAACTAAAGAACCCATATTGCATAATACTAAGATTGGAAAACATTGAGTAAAAATTCACATAAAGGCGCTATTGCATGTTTAAGTTTCACATGTTTCGATTTAGCATTCGTTGTTTCCTCTTTGATGAAAAAAGAAAAGTGCAACACACCCTGCGGACGATTTTAGAATCAATATTTTCTTCAAAGCATGAGTCTTTAATCCAAACCCACTACCACTAAAGTTGCTTATTTGATAGCAAATGCAAAATTGTCAAAAAAATGGGTTAGCAACGACATTTTAATCACAGTCGCGTAAAAATTCCCTGATTTCAGACAAAATTCCCTGTCTTTTCCCTGACCATTAAAATTCCCTGTCTATTCCCGGTCGCTCGCCACCCTGTTGCGCCACTTCCTGTGACGCACTCTACCATACCGACAAGCGATGGTCTGGCGAGGATAAATTCCAGAAATTAATGTAGATGGGAAACTACAGTACTGAAATTGACCGGAAGCATGTTAGGGCAAATGGAGTTTCTGTAAAATTCTGATTATGGTATATAACGATTCGAGAAAATAGAGATTAGAATAAATAAATATTACACAGTGCAACAGCATTTTTAATTCCGAGACCGCATAGGGTGATTCTTATAGGTTTTTCAACGCTGAACACGAATCCGTAATTAGAATTGCTCCATCACCCTACACGGAAAAAAATAGTTCGCGAAACTTTCGTAAACTAGTTTTTCACTTTTGGACGGTCCCAAAGTTTGGAAATCTTTCATTAACATTTTCCAAGATTTCACGAACGTTCATCACTCTCTTCATAACAATCGCACAAAAAAAAGTTCGTGAAATCTTGGAAAATGTTAATGAAAGATTTCCAAACTTTGGGCCCGTCCAAAAGTAAACAACTAGTTTACGAAAGTTTCACGAACAATTTTTTTCAGTGAAGGTTTTCGAGAAATGTTGGCCTTGAAAATTGAAAAAATGCCGTTTTTAGGGTACTTTTTGATTTTTTATTACGGTACCAAAATTTTTTCTGAGGTTTTCATGATATGCATATGAAAGCTGATATCCTCCTTAACCAAAAGGAGGATATTGGTCCAAAATCCAAATGTATTTTAAATCGCCTGTAACTTGTTACTCGGGGGTTTTCGGGGTCGCTGATTACGAATTCGAGGTCTGTTTTTGAAAATTTAAATGGCGGATCCAATATGGCGGACGACTTTTTCTAAACTCGATCGAAATAGCCTGTAACTTGTTACTCGGTGGTTTTCGGGGTCGCTGATTACGAATTTGAGGTCCGCTTTTGAAAATTCAAAATGGCGGACGACTTTTTCTAAACTCGATCGAAATGGCCTGTAACTTGTTACTGGGGGGTTTTTGGGGTCGCTTATTACGAATTCGATGTGACTCGTGAAGCTCTGATTTTTTCTCTATCTCTCTTTAACAGTCCGGACTTACTGCATTGCCTGTCCCGAATTCGTAATCAGCGACCCCAAAAACCCCCGAGTAACAAGTTACAGGCCATTTCGATCGAGTTTAGAAAAAGTCGCCCACCATATTAGATCCGCCATTTTGAATTTTTAAAAACGGACTTCGAATTCGTAATCAGCCACCCCGAAAACCCTCGAGTAACAAGTTACAGGCCATTTCGATCGAGTTTAGAAAAAGTCGTCCCCCATATTGGATCCGCCATTTTGAATTTTCAAAAAGTTACAGGCGATTTAAAATACATTTGGATTTTGGACCATTTTTTTATACGCCTCCTGCACTGTGATCCCGTTTCTCGTTGCAACACGAATTTCAAATCAGGATAACTCATCCAAAAAAGATATTTTTTAAAAATCAAAATTGGAAAATGTTAAGGAGGATATCAGCTTTCATATGCATATCATGAAAACCTCAGAAAAAATTTTGGTACCGTAATAAAAAATCAAAAAGTACCCTAAAAACGGCATTTTTTCAATTTTCAAGGCCAACATTTCTCGAAAACCTAGGGTGATGGAGAAATTCTGATTACGGATTCGTGTTCAGCGTCGAAAAACCTATAAGAATCACCCTATGCGGTCTCAGAAATAGAAAAAAATGAAAATCTGTTGCACAGTGTTAGGGGAAATTAAAATTATGTTAAATGGTAATTCGCAAAAGAAATAATTCTTATATTAATAATTCGTTCAAATTAAAATTCGGAAAAATAATAATTAGAAAATTTAGAAATTATGTGAAATGGCAATTCGGTAAAATGAAAATTATAAAAAATAGCAAATCGTAACTTTTAAAAATATAAATTTGATAAATTACATTTTAAAACAAAAAATTGTTCGAAAAAATATTTATTGTATTCGAAGAAAAAAAATTATAAGAAATGGTAATTATGTAAAATCAAAAATAGTATGAACTTTTATTTCGAAAAATAAAAATGATAAAAAATACTAATTCACTACAATAATAATTATGAGAAATGATTATTCGGTAAATTGAAAATTATATAAAATAGCTAATCGTTACTTTTAAAAATAGAAAAAGTATAAATTTGGTGAATTACATTTTAGGACAAATAATTGTTCCAAAAAAATATTTATTATACAAAATGGTAATTCGAAGAAAAAAAAAATTATACAAAATGGTAATTATGTAAAATCAAAAATAGTATAAACAGGTTTTTGGAAAAATAAAAATTATGAAAAACACTAATTCGCTATAATAATAATTATGAGAAATAATTACTCGGTAAATTGAAAATTATAAAAAATGTTCTTTCGAAATTAAAAAATTCTGTCAAATAATAATTCGAAAGTATTTTTATTATATAATCTGACGATTCGAATTAAAAAAATTATAGTCAATTCCTTTTAGATAAAACGATTTTCGAGAAAATAAAAATTCGAGAAAACAAATTTGGTGTATAATCATGTGCCTCAGAATAAAGTAATGTATAAAAAAATCCTTATTTAACCCATTTACGTTAAAAAACTTTTAAGTTCAAATCTTAAACAGTAAGAAGTAATTTGAACCATTATACCATATATGAGAGATTCTTTTTCAATCGCCCCAGCCCAAAAAGTCAATGTTCTGGGATTGGCTTCATACTTTGGTAAATTGTTGTCCTATATGATAGTAATAAATCCCTAAAATATAAACTCATTAAAAAAATATTTGTAGAAAGTAGAGGGGGTTGAAGTTTTGACGTTAAGGGTAACATTGTCATTTTCAAATCCGTATAACTATGACAAAAGTTAATGGATTTTAATTTATCTATAATGAATTTTATTGAATTTTTCACGTACTTTTCAAAAATGTATACGAAATTTAAAAAAAAAAATTTTTAACCCCTTTTTTTTCAAAATCAACCCTTATTTTTCGATTTTCACCCCTTCGGGTATTTTTTTTTTTTTTTTTTATTTTCATTGGAAAGCTGAGGTTTTTTCCGATGAGCTATGTAAATATGAAAATGGGACAACAATAATTTTGTGAGTAACAGAATATTAAAGTAGGCGGTGCCGATAAGGGGTGTACCTGGAGATCATCTTTGAGGATTTAGATAGGCACCGCCTAATTTAATATTATGTTTCTCACAAAATTATTGTTGTCCCATTTTCATATTTACATAGCTCATGGGAAAAAACCTCAGCTTTCCAATGAAAATAAAAAAAAACAAAAAAAAATTCCCGAAGGGGTGAAAATCGAAAAATAAGGGTTGATTTTGAAAAAAAAGGGGTTAAAAATTTTTTTTTTTAAATTTCGTATACATTTTTGAAAAGTACGTGAAAAATTCAATAAAATTCATTATAGATAAATTAAAATCCATTAACTTTTGTCATAGTTATACGGATTTGAAAATGACAATGTTACCCTTAACGTCAAAACTTCAACCCCCTCTACTTTCTACAAATATTTTTTTAACGAGTTTATATTTTAGGGATTTATTACTATCATATAGGACAACAATTTACCAAAGTATGAAGCCAATCCCAGAACATTGACTTTTTGGGCTGGGGCGATTGAAAAAGAATCTCTCATATACACAAAAAATATACAATGACTTTAAAAGTTAATTTCCAAGCATAACGTGATGAATTCAGCTTCTAAAGACTAGTTAATTTTATACTATCCATGATATGTATGTACACAACCAATTACATCAAAATGTAATGTCATACATATACTTAAATTAAAAAATAAATTAACAAATTGACCAATCCCTCCGAACACTAAGAATCAAAAATTGTATCATACCTGACTGAGGTTTGTACTCCATGTTGTTGGCATACGTAACCCTTCTCTGGTTTCATACATTGAAGCAGGTCGTTGATTTGGACGAGCTATGACACATTTCACATCAAGCGATGGCGCAAGTTCTGCAATTTCTTCACTTCCGGTACAACCATTTACGACTATGTCAGAAGGTTTAGTCTGTGGTTTTAACTTTTACATATACAGACATTAAAATTAATTCTATTTATATATGAAACTATAAGTAAATATATTATTTTGATCATTAAAGGTAAATTCACTCGGGACGCATGAATATTCCCCAAATTAGACTTGCCGGAATTTTTATGGTGTCGAATTAAAAATTATCGAATTTACATTTAGTAAAATTTTAAAAAAGTAGATTTTATAATAAGCCCAATTTTAATTTCGAAAAAATTCTATTTAACAAAATCCTGTTTTTGTAGAATTTTTATTTAACTGAACTTTGATAAAACAGATTTTCGAATACATCGAATTTTCAAATAACACAATTTCCATTTAACAAAATTTAAATCTAGAAAAATTTTCATAAAAAAGAATTTTTATGTATCAGAATTGTTCTTTTGTCGAATTTCTATTTATTCGCATTTCCACTTAAAAGTATGTTTATTAACAGAATTTTCAATTAAAAGAATTTCTATATAAAAAAATTCATATTTAACAAAAGTTTTATTCATAAAAGTTCTATACAATCTACTTTTTATTTAATAAAATTGTCATTTAACTGAAATTCTATCTACTTAGCTAATTTTTTAAGACAAAGATTTTCATTCGATAGAATTCTAAAAATGTCGAATTTCCATTTTATTGAACTTTTACATATCCAATCATACACTTGGCAGAATCATTTCAGCTCTAACTAGATATATATTTAACTAACGCCAACTAACAACTAACTATTTTTCTTTATTTGTATAATTATGTATTACTTCCTCCATTACTTTACTGTCACTCTTATTGTGTATTATTATTGCTATTTTTTACATTCTTAATTTAAAAGATAAAATACGATTCCTCATGTTTATTTTTATTAGTAATTATATATAAACTTAAAATCGTTACAAAACTTTGCTTCAAATCTTATTTGAAGCAGGTTTATGTATGTGTAAGTGAATTTACCCATAATAAGCGAAATAACCTCATTTAACGTTAATCTCCGTGTTGCCTGCTAAGTCAAATTTATTTATTTAAGTAGGATAAATGTTATTTATGTATTCAAGCATCGGGGCAATTATATATCAAATTCTCATGAAATGTTTAATAAATTTAAGCAAGGGAAATGTTTTTTATATTAAATTGTCATTTCACTGTCCTGAAACAATTTTAAGAGGTAATAGAAAATATAAGTAAGCTACAAAAACAACTAAAATTGTAAAAGACAAAAGTCAAATTCAATTGTCCCTTGAAATCCGATATACGTGGGTTTCACTGTATTAGATATCTTATTAATTAATATTAATTATTTTAATTTTATTTAACAATAATAATAATTTAATAATATTTAATTTAATACTATTTAATAATTATTTAATTAATTTAATTTAAATAAAAAATAAACTCATTAATATAATATTATTTTTTATTAAACTTTTAGTATTTTCCTAATTTGCATGTTATGTCATAATAAATAATTATTTAACGAATTGTTAATTGATAAATATCACTTTCAATTTTCTACCCTGTATAAAGCAAAAATCCCTGAATTTTGAATATCTACCAGAACTGTCTTATTACTGGTTACTATAATTTTGCCAATACTGGCAAAATAGAGGATCAGTGCTAAATTCTAGTATTGAGTCAGTACTGAACGCCAGTACTAAGCCATTACTAATTACCAGTACTGATCAACGTTATCATCCCAAACATATGCTAATATTGGTTCAGTATTGTCGGTCAGTACACGGAAAAGTTTTCGGGTGATCTGCTGTACTAGCTATAGTTACGCTGCTACACTAACTCTCAAATTGAAGCATTTCAGCAATCTGTCAATTTTGTAAAACAACTCACCTGCCGGAGAGAGCAGTCCATCCAAAACCTTTTCCGTGTACTTTGCCAGTAATTGACAGTACTGGCGCAATACTGCGCCGGTTGTAAATTTGGTATGCAGTTAAGTATTAAGTATATGCAGTTCAGGAGCTCCTGTCATATCTAGAAATATAAAGCTCCTTAGATGGGTTTTTAGGGTTTCGCGGCCCAGAGCCGAAAGCCTTATAGTTTCACTTTGGCGTCCGTCCGTCGTACACTCATATGGTGTAACCAGCGACCCCGAAAACCCTCGAGTAACGAATTTTACAAGGATCACTTTAAAAAAAAGTTATCACTTTAATTAGTAATTTGTTTATATAATTTGTTTATAACAAATTACGTGTGTTCTACTAGAACATAATTTTACAAATCACAAATCTGTAGGAGTACTTTAAGTGTCTAATAATAAAAAATATTTCGATTTTGTTGTGATATTCATATGATTCACAGGAAAAAGGTACTTTTTATTTGTTTATTTATATTAATATAATTAAGTATACAAAATGAAAATTAAAGATTGGGGTTTAGCAATATCTTAAAAATTTAGTGAGGATTATTTTAAGTCAAGAAAATCGAAAAATGTTAAAAAATTATTAGTTTTACGTTGTTTTTAGTGCTTAATGTATATCCTGTCTCAAAAGTGCCAGACGAATGAGAATTTGGCAGTTTTTTTAAAAAAAAAGGTAGAAACAACATTAAATAAAAAAAATAAGCAATTCTATCCGATAGAGAATTCAAATTTGCAATACATAAGCCTATAAAAAGACCTAAAAATAATATTTTTTCAAAAAAATAGATGCAAGACGAATAAGAATTTGTCTGGTCACAACGCATTCTTGGTCACAAATTGAGAAATCTTGGTTAATAGAATAACAAATTAAATAAAACGCGCGTGGTATCACATTTAGTTTAGTTTAATTAACAACAATAACGAACTGTAACTTCATCAGAATGTTGATTTTTAATAATTTTAACGTGTTTTCAACTGCCAGACGAATGATCACAAAATCCAGGGACAAAATTTAAGAAGATATTTTATAAATAAGGTAGGTATAGAGTAATGTCATAATTATTGCCATATTAATAATCTACAACTATTCAAAATTACTAATCCAGTATGAATTTTCCGCTAAACACTTGAAAAATAATATTTTTTCACAATATGAACTGTCAATTACACTGCGGGACATGTCAGACGAATGAAAATTTAGCACTTTGATGTGTATTTTTTGCAAGAAATATTTTTTTCATCAGCTGCTTTTTAGTGCCACAATAGAAACCATCTAGATTTACAATTTTCATTAAAAAAAATTTTTTTTTCAAAATTAATATACAAAATAAGCTTGACCGCTCATAATTCCCTCGTTTGTAGAATCACCCATATACAAATAACTTTTGATCTGAATTTAAAAAGCCACGAAACCTTAGATGTAGGCGCTTTGCGACTGCTTCTTTTCCTGATTTTTTTGGTAATTTTATTTATTTTACATGTAACTAGAAGGAGCAGCATGATAAGAGACGTTATTTACGCAAATAACGTAAATTACGTAATATTATTCAGTTCTGCAGTTAAGGGGCTCCTATCATATCTAGAAATGTATAGCTATTCAGATGGATTTTTTTGCTAATTTTATTCATTTTACAAGTAACTAGTTAGGAAAAAATCGTAAGAGACGTAAATTACGCAAATAATTTAAATTACGTAACATTTAAAACTTTTTTTTCAGGTTATTGGGACAATTTTTGTTATTTTACCAGTATTTAGACGAGGCAGTATGATAAACTACATACATTACGTAAATTATGTAAATAATGTAAAATACTGATTATAGTCTAAATTAAAGATTATAGAATTATACAAACTGGTAGTCCTGAAAAGGACTGATTGTAGCCTAAATTAAAGATTTTAGAATTATAAAATTTGGTAGTCCTGAAAAGGACTGATTATAGCCTAAATTAAAGATTTTAGAATTATAAAAATTGGTAGTCCTAAAAAGGACTGATTGTAGTGTAAATTAAAGATTTTATAATTATACAAACTGGTAGTCCTGAGAAAGACTGATTGTAGTGTAAGTCCAAATAAAAAAAACAAGAAGATAATTCTAAGATGAGCTGATTGTGAAGGACGGATTTTAGGACTAAATACTTTAAGAATCTGCGGAACCTTCATTTAAATCTTTAAACATTTGGATCACGTTAAAAATTTCATAAAATCTTTTAGTGTAATCTAGGAACTTTCTTTTAAATAAACATTCTGCAATATATCCATCCATATGCTTTTCACGACGACCATACGTTGGAATTGCTGCTCTGGTGTCACGCCAAGTACGTTCAATATGTTAAGTGTGAGCACGAGTCTCCGGATCAACGAAGTTATACTATGGTTTATCTTGAAGTGATTAAAACCGTGATCAAGGCTTTAGTACGCTTTCCAGCAATCCAACATGATTATTCGACATTCATCAATCTTCTCTTTAATGACTGATAAAAGAGTTTTAAAAGTTCTGTCGGGAACAGGAATAATGAAAATTTCCCTAGTTTCACGACAAAAACCACCAAAGAGCCAAACACCATCAATAATTCGGTCACAATGATATTTTCGTTTGCCGGATTTTGCTTCGTCAATTTCAACAATTTTGACAGGTCCGCTCATTTTATCATTGCTGGATTCTAGACACCATAGAAATAAAGCTTTCCTGACAAAATTGCCCCAATCAACACACGTGTGCTATCTTATTTTTAATTATCTCATCAGCACGGTTTTCTTGGCGAGGCGAGGTGGTGGTAGAAAAATGTAGGTACCATGCAACGAATTGGCAAGATAGTTCTAAAGAAAGAGTTGATCGTTGAAACCAGGTGTCAGTTTTTATAGACATTTTAAAATTACAAAAAATCAATTTTTAGAAAAATACCACTATTATTGACAATAATGTATTCACTAAGAGACTAAGAAGTCAAATGAGACGAATAAGGTTATTTCTTATTCTTTTCACTTGGTGCATTATTAATAGGGGCTTCGCCTCCTAACCCCCTGACTGGAGTTCCAGTATTAGTCCCGTCGGGGGGAGAACCCCCCAACCTCACTTTGCAGAATACTTTCGGCCATATCCGACTCTCCCCGCCAATATTTCTTTAAAATGCAAACTAGCAGTACCTTACGCAGGAGATTCTTCTTTTTTGCATTTTTAAAAAACCTTAACGGGGAGGGGCAGAAAAGGTTAAAAGCTTTTAACCTTTTCTTTCTGTAAAAAATGTTGTATAGCAGAAGTCAGGATTCCTTATACCAACTCCTAAGCTGGTATACGGAATCTTGACATTTCAGTATTACAGCCTTTACTGTAATACTAAATTAATACGGAGGTTGTATACGGACAAATTTTGCATCATTTTGAATAAAGAAATACCAGTTTTAGGAAGAAATTAATGATTGAATATTAATTTAGAATATTAAAGAAGGCTAGGTTTTAAAGAAAATGACGATTTAATGAAAAAATTGTTATTTAATTCACTAAATATGTAAGCTGTGAGAATAGTGAATTGATGGTGATGATTTACCTGATAATATTGTTCTTATTGACCGACATTAATATCTACTGTCAGTCAGTAAGAACAATATTATTAGGTAAATAATTACCATCGATTTACTCTTCTCACAGCTTACATATTTAGTAAATTAAATAACAATTTTTTCATTAAATCATCATTTCCTTTAAAACGTAGTCTTTTTTAATATTCAACCATAAATTTCATCCTAATACTAGTATTTCTTTTATTAGTGTACGCGGCCGCGTAAGGTTCTGCTCGTTTGCATTTTAAAGAAACCTTGGCGGGGGTCGGATATGGCCGAAAGTATTCTGCGGACAAAGTGGAGTGGGATCGGCAGTTGCGACCGTAGTCACCGCGTAAGTTTCTTTTTACCTAAATACTAGTAAAATAACAAAAATCAGCTCAAAAGACAGAAAAAAGTTTTATGTGTTACGTTATTTGCGTAATTTACGTCTTTTACGTTGTTTTCCTATCTAGTTACTTGTAAAATAAAAAAATCAACAAAAAAAACTATATGAAAAGCTGTACGTTTCACGATTTGACAGGACAGCTGCCCCTTTTGGTTATATGTAAAATAAATAAAATCAGCAAAAAAGACCAATAGAAAAGCTGCATATTTCTAGTAGAGATCCTCGACTTGCGTCAACTCTCCCTTGAGGATCTCTAATTTCTAGATATGACAGGAGCCCCTTAACTGCATAATTACCGTAAATTTTGCTAGGTCATTACTTAAATAAAAAATTTGACAGATGAGACAGTTTGGATATTATGTAATTTTAAACAATAATCACAACTCAAAAGAATATAACTACATACATTATAAGTCTAAATACATACCTGCAACATAATTTTCAATTCTTGGTTTTCTGCTGAAATCCGTTCAACAGTATTTTGTAACAAACGTACTTCTTCTCTAAGATCCTTTATTGTAGATTCAGAAATACTCAACTGCTTTCTAAGAACATCAACTGCCGAAGGTAATCCTTTCCCCATTGGAGACATGGGTTTCTGAAAACAGTAATATTAATGTTTTATAAAATGCATATTCACAAAATTTTTTTTGGATTAAATATTTCAAAACGAAATTTATAAAAACAAGTGAACATGTTTTAAAAACATAGTTTACTGTTTAGTATTTTTTGAAGATAAAAACTACTTATCATGATAAATTTATACATTTATAATTCTCAAAAATTTTTATTTTTTTCGAATTTGATCAAAATTTTTTACCTGTAAATGGTATTTCGGGTTACTAGTAACGAATCTAACACCAAATATTGAAAATTAAAAATGACTAATTTAATATGAAGGCCTAAAATTCTAAAAATTAATTAATTAAATTTACGAGAAACTACTCCTAATTTTAAATGAAAGTTGATCTGTAGTAAATTGACAACATTGGTAAAAAAAAGTGGATTAATAATTGCAAGATGATTGGGAAAAAATTGATAGTTCAAGTTTTTTTTTTTGCTAAGGAACTTTTGGGAAATCTGTATACAGATACCTTTCTTCAGCTCAATGATTTAAGACAAATTTTCGTTTGGGAGAGAGCAAATGGAATTATTATCAACAACCTGATCTTGGTAGTGAAAGAATGGAATGCAGGAAGAGTAGGTCAAAACTTTGACATTTTATTACTGGAATGTTTAAAAAATGTACCGAATCTGACTATCTGTGTATATTCGAATAGAATTTTTCTTTTTATATTGTGAATTCATAAAATGAAGTATATATTAATTTTTTGTCCTTTATATTATTAACAATTAAATTGTTATAAATAAGGGGAAATTATAATGTAAAACTTAGAAAGTGTACCAATGAACTTCAGAACTTTTCACCGAAGCAGCAACATCCAGTTCAGATCTTGGTACCAGCACGTCATCTTCACATACGAAATCTTGTACAAGTCTTGTACAAGATTTCATACTCAAGTTCATACTCAAGTTCGACTTAGAAGAATTTCCATGTCAAGTGTTAAAATTCTCTACATCAAGAAGTGCTCATCCTATTATTCAAGGACCTGATCTTTACATAATATTTGGAAATCATCTTTTCTTTCTTTTTCTGGGAGAATCTCATCGTTTGAGTCTTCGTAACGGCAAATTGAATTCCTGACCTAGGCCCGTCAACCTTCCTGAGCCTCATAAACCGACATGTGGACACAGCAGTGGTCCTTTTTCATACATCTAGCATCTAAGTTTTTAAGGTAAGTCGTAATATTTTTTATCTAAATCCTTCCTAACTCCTTATAAAAATTTGTAGTAACCTTTACATTACTTGTTTCAGTGGAATGTTGACTTCCCTTATTTCAAGAATGGTTGCTTCAGGATACTCTCTCTCTCTCTCTCTCTCTCTCTTTCTCTCTCTCTCTTTCTCTCTCTCTTTCTCTCTCTCTCTTTCTCTCTCTCTTTCTCTCTCTCTCTTTCTCTCTCTCTCAAAGATCAATTTTATAACTGTAAATGTTTGTCTAAATAAACTTGTAACCTTGTTATTAAAAAACAATATTCTCTTTCTTCTCTGTACCCTAAGCTCAGAGCCTTTTGCTCTGTAAATGAAACAGGAATGCGCACTGAATCACCGAGCGGACATAAATAAAATATTATTTCGTTAGTTATTTCTCTATTTAAGACATAACAATTATAATAACTTATGTTAATATTATTTACTATTAGGTGATTATATTAACAATTTTTGTTGAATAAAAATTCTAAAGTTCTGTTAATATTAAATACAACAACAAACAAAACACTCACAAAATAGTAAAATTATTAGAAAAATATATAATATGTAATATTAAGAAATATATTTTATTTATTACAAAAAGAAGTGGAAATCCCATTTTGCATGCTAGGATAATTTATATCTGTAGCAAGTAAGTATTGTAATACATTTAATAACAAAAGTTAAATTGAAAATTTGAATAAATATGATGAAGCAAAAATTGTAATTTATTTATAAGTTTATAAAGCATCTAATGCTTAAAACTGTTTAAAGCACCCGTAAAGTACCTTCTCAAGATGAGCCTGAAAAGGTGTGTAGTAGGGGTGATTTCAGAGCCGCATGGTACGGAATCATGGACAGAGGGAAATTTCAGAAAACCGCACAGTACGGAGACACGACTGTATAATACAAACTAATACAATAATTAATCTTTGGTAAAAATATTTTTCATTCAGTCCAATATTTTCCGAGGGGGTGAAAGTTTTGGGGTTTTACGGTACATTGCATAGTAACTGTTGCCATAGTAACTGTTGCCCTGGAAGCGGTTACCATGTACGACGGACAGACGAACGCCAAAACGAAACTATAAGGCTTACGGCCCTGGGCGACGAAACCCTAAAAATTATTAAAACTTGCGGTGTACTGTAAAATCCCAAAACTTTGACCTACTCCCTCTCGGAAAATACTGATCTATAATCTAAATGAAAAAATATTTTTACCAAAAATCAACATTTATGAGAACTACAACTGCATCGAGTGTAAGCATGTTTGAAGAAAAAATTTTTTGAACCTTGATCACTTAACGTGTGATCCCCCATTACCATTTGGATATTCAAGATATCTTAGGAATGTCCTGGGGATGACCGGAAAGTTTAACATCCCTAGGATGTCTCAGGTATATCCGTAGATATCTTGAGGACATTTTAGAGATATACAAATTTCCGGATGCGGGTAGGACGTCCATAGGATATTATTAAAAGTCCGTTGCTGTTAGGGGGTAATAAAGAATTCTTACATTAAATGTCTTTCAAACCACATAAGAGTTATGTTAAGATAATGACGAATAAGAATCAGATTACATAACATAAGGCTATTTAAAATATCAATATATTTAAGCACCATTAAATTAAAATATTTTAAAATTTGTAATACTATTTTAGGGTGAATTATACAGAAGAGGATTTTTGTGGGGTAAGTTGTCAAAGTTACATCTGTAAATTGCATTAAGAAAATCATGTTACAAAAAGAAAGGTATGTTAATTTAAGTGACGCAGATTTTAAAATTATTGATGAAGAAGGAGAAATGCTAAATGATAATCATATTTATGAATTTGAAAAATTGTTGAGAAGAGAATCTAATTCTAGTTTCAACATGCAAAGTACCATGTATTTAAATATGCTTGATCAAATTTGTTCTATTAAAAAAAGTCAAAAGCATATTCAAATACTTTTTAGTGGTTCTTGTGTTGCCAGTCATTGGATATGTACTTATTACAATGGAGCAAGACTATATATTTATGATAGTCTTAATTTAGGTTGTTTAAATGAGGATCAAATGAAATATTTAAATAGATTATATCCTTATCAACCTCCAGTAGTTTTTGCAACAGTGCATCAACAACCGAATGGTATTGATTGTGGTTTATTTGCAATTGCAACATTAGACATAAAGACATTAGATAATAGGCATTTATTTGTTGAATATGATTGGAAGTGTCTTTATAAAAATCGAGTAAATGAACTCCGTTACAAAAAAACAAATTCTTCTAATTTTTCTAATATTACCAATGATGATATAGATAAGAGTAAAAATAATAATTCAAACTCTCTAAAAAGGCTTGTGCGTTCTTTAGATGAAGATAATGAGAAAAAAATTAACCAGCGTATAAAAAGTACTAAAAGAAACAGAAAACTGAGGCTTAAGGAAACGATAGAAAAAAAGAATGCAGACAAGAGATAGATAAACTTAGGAAACGGAGTTTTCGTAGAATAAAAATCGAAAATGAAGAAAGAATAGACCAAAATATTTTATGTAAAAAGGCGAAATTTTTATTAGACAGTCAGTTAAAAAAGAAAGAACGCCAATTGAAAGATTCAAGGAGTAAAACTAATAAAAAGAGTAATAAGAAGTTTAAAACATTAGGAATAGTTATTATTGCTTTTAATAAATTTAATGAAAAAATAATTTCACAAAATTATTTAGGTTTGATGAACGTTAAATGTAAGCATTGTAATTCGTTAAACTTCTTGTGTGAACAGCCGTCAGATAAAGAATTTAGTAGTTGTTGTCATGAGGGTAAAGTAAAGTTAGATGATTTAACTGCTTATCCCGATAAATTAATTAAATTTTATGTTTTTCGTATACACGGTCAGATCTATCATAATACATATTCTCTTCCTCCAAATCAAGATGATAGAAGTATATTCGGTCAGTTGTATATAATTGATACAAGTGAATCTGTTCAGGAAAGGTTAAGCTACCTAACGGACGATTCACCCATGACAGAGCTAAGTGTCTGAAGCATCTTGTGGGAATTAATTTCCCAGACTTCAGAGAATCAGAGCACAGCAAAAGGACAGTAGTATGTTCGTTTACCTTTAGTTAAAATCATGAGAGCAAGTATAGCTCTAGGTTACACTCCTGAGGCATTATGCCAGGTGCGGTAAAAGGGGCCATTGAAAGATGGTCTAGGAGATGTCACGAGAGAGAGTGGGCGGAGACTACTGTGGGTAGACAGGCCAAGGCTCTGTTGGGATTAAAACTCAACAGGCGTTTTGCCGAGTCCCTTCTAAAACTCAACAAGATCAGAGTTAGAGCAGTGGTCAGGCTGCTCACGGGACATGGCCTCATGAACTACCATCAGCACAAAATAGGTAGAAACGTTTCACCTAGATGCAGATTGTGTAACGCGGAAGAGGAATCTTCTACTCATATTTTATGTCACTGTCCAGCTTACGCTGCAGGGAGACATCAATGCTGGGGCTATGCCTTTGTAGACCCAGATAGGATTCGCGACCTCTCGGTAGAAGAGTTACTGGACTTTTGGAATAAGACAAGAATCTAAAGAGGGAGACTAGGTTTAAGCTTACCGGGGTTAGGTGCAATGGGTTTTGCGACTTAAGTACCAACACTCCTCCTAAGGGACTTCGGTATAAGCTTATTTTAGATTAGATTAATACAGTACTCATTTTAATTTCCTTTCCTCCTTTTAATTAAATAATTTTGGATTTCTTTTCAAATAGATAATTCGAAGGAACCCTCTTTAACTTTAACTAACTTTCGTCTA